CGGACAAGAAAGCAAGCTCGAACTGGCGGTCCTCCAGGACGTCACTGCCAAGGGCAAGAGCACCCTTGACAGACGGAGGACAGGCAGGGTCCGAGACCAGAGCGGTGGCATAGTCAAGGCGGCGGGTAGAGGCGAAGTCAGCGACCGCAGCTACAAGAGCGTCAAGGCACGAGACAGGAACAGACGGGTCGGTAACAAGAGAGGCAAGGACCCGGGGAACAAGAGGACGAGCGGCACGAAGGTAGTCAGACAGGGAGGGGGGTGCAACAACAAGGGGGGACGGAGGAGGCGACGGGAGAAGGGGAGGACGAGACGCGTGGGAACGAAGCAACATAGGGTGGGAGCGCAAGACAGGGGAGGCAGGACGAGCACGGGAGGGACGGTGAGACCAGACATGCGACGGAGGAGTCGGGTCAGGAGACAGGGGAGGGGACACAGGAGGGGAACGAGGGGGAAGACGAGCCGGGGACGAGTCCGGCGGAGGGAACACAGGGCCGGAGACGGGAAGAGGAGGAGACGGGCGGAGAGGAACAGCCGCAGGGTCAGGGGACGGAAGGCCGAGCAGGCGAAGGGCGGACACCGGCGGGGACTGCTGCTCCGGCGGCACAACGGTGACACCGGGACTGCAAGCTGCTCCTCGACTACCACCGGCACACTCCACACCAGCACCCCCAGAGGAACCACCCCCAGGGCTACCAGTACTAGCACCCCCAGAGTCATCGAACGGGTGCTGCGACGGCGGCGGCGGCGGCGGCAGCGACACCGACGGGTGCAGCGGTGGCAGAGGCGGTGGAGGAGGGGACTGGGGAGGGGACGCCGGTGGAGGGGCGGCCGGCGAGGACTGCGCAGCAGGGCCACCAGAGTCAGAAGACTCCTCAACCGGGTCCACCGACGGAAGGGGGGTGACGTGGGACACACCAGAGGGGGCAGGACAGGGAGGAGGAGGGGGAGGGGCAGGGACTACCGGGGAAGGAGTGACCAGGAACAGGGGGGGGGGAACCGGGGGACCGCGGTGGGGGAAGCGACGGTAGTAAGAGACGGACTCGTCAAAGGTGACGTCGCGAGAGTGAAAGAAGCGGTGAGACGGCGGGTGGTAAAAGTGCCACTCGGACGCGTCAAGGGGAAAACCGAGGAAGACGCAGGGAAGGGTGCGGGCAGTGAGCTTGTCCGTGCCGGAGGCACGGACGTGAGCAAGGCAGCCCCAGACGTGAAACGCAGACGCGTCACCAGGAGACCCAGTCCAAAGACGGGTCGGCGAAACCTGCAGCTGCTGAGGGTGCGGCCACAAGTTAAGCTGGTGAGAAGCGTAGCGCACAGCGAACGGCCATAGAAAATGGGGTGCACCGGCATGGATCATGGAGGTGCGAGCCACCTCCATGACCAAAACGATGCTTCGCTCAGCGACCCCATTCTGTTGTGGGGAGTCCAGTAGGGTGAACGTCTGGGTGATGCCCTCCGCACGACAAAAGCGACCAAGGACACCTGAGGCAAACTCGCCACCACGGTCGGAGTGAAGACGCAAGACAGGGAGACCGCGGTGGACACGCGCAGAGACAAGCCAGGGGATGAGGGCGCCAGGCACGTCGGCCTTGCGCTCCAGGGGAAAGACTGTGGTGTAACGAGTAAAGTCGTCGACAAGCACAAGGAAGTAGCGCTCGCGACGCGGCCCAGGGACGGGGGCGGGGCCCCAGACGTCCAGGTGCAGGGTCTGCAGCGGCGCGGCGGTAGAGGGAAAAGAGGAGGAGTGAGGGGCACGGCGAAGCCGACCCTCGACACAAGGCGTGCAAGGTGGGGCTGGGGAGGAGGGAAACGCGGGGAGAGAACCTAGGAGACCAAGCACAAGACTGTGCTGGGACATGTGACGCAGACGCGGGAGCGCAGGGTGACCTAGGCGGTGGTGCCAAAGGAGAGTCGGGTGAGTGAGGGACCGACAGGAGCAGGCAGCAGCAATCTGGGTAGACGCAGCCACCCGAGGGAGCGCTCCAGCCGGGGGGGTCACGGTGTCTAGAGTGAACAGGCCGGACACCGGGTCCCGGGGGAACATGGACAGGGGGGCACCAGTGGCGGCCTCGGTACAGACAGCATACCGCTCGTGACCAGGGAACGTAGTGGTGACGCCAAGGTCCTGGAGGCAGCCGACACCAACTAGGTTCCTGGAGAACGAGGGGATATGCAGACCTGTGAGAGTGCCTGAAGGAACCGCCGGACAGGGAAGGGTGGTGGAACTGCGGGCGACTACCGGACCGCCGGAGGGGTCAGCAGGAGAAACGGTAGCAGGAACAGGAAGCGGCGTCAGGGTGGTGGAGTCGCGGAAGAAACACCGGGAAGCGCCAGAGTCCAAGGTGAAGGAAAGCGAAGTAGAGGCGTCTGGCGACGGAACAACGGCGAAAGCACCAAGACTACACAAAGCAGAGGATCCTACGCCTGACGCAGCAGGGGAGGCTAAGCTAGGCACACCTACACTAGTCGACAGTGAGTAATAAGCGGGAAGCACACTAGAGTCATCAGCATACATCACATGCAAAGCAGAAACAATAGCATCCATGTCCATGTCAAAAATCTGAATCTTACGACTAAGCAAACTGTGCCAGTCCGGGAGGTCTGGCGACGGGCCGAAGCGCTGACGAAACAGGTCGTCCAGGCGACGAAAACAACGGGGAGTGGAGTGACCGATCTTACCGCAAACGAAGCCGCGGCGAGGACCGGTCTGGATCTGGTACTGACAACGCACGCCTCCAGAACCACCACTCGGCACACCACCACGCGCCCGACCACCGCCAGCGCCGGGCCACCCGGGCGGGAGTACACTCGTCTGCCTCGTCTGTGGCGGCTGCTGCGGCTGCTGCAAAGGCCGCGGCTGCTGCGACTGCGGCGGCTGCTGTGGTTGCTGCTGCTGCTGCGACTGCAGAGGCGGCGGCCCAGCTGGACTGGGCAGGGTCCCCTCGTCCGCTCCAGCACCAGACGACCCGACTCCACCACCACCCCCTCCCGCACCCCCGCCTCCTCCGCCGCGCCCAACCTTGGGGCGGCGGCCCTTCCCCGAACGAAACTGCGCTGCAGCAGCAGTCTCAGCCACAGCGGCAGAGCCGTCGAAGAAGGTACACTGAGCGGGGGCACAACCCTGAAAGATAGGGACCGGCAGGGTACCACTCGCCTGGGCGATGGAGCGGTGGCGGGTCTCAATCACAGTCAGGGTGTCTACAAAGTCAGTGAGGGTGAGGTCTGCGGGGTGAATGCTAAGGAAGCGGTCGCGGGCGACAGCAAGGCGGTCAGGGAGGCGGGTGGCAACCAGGTAAAGGGTAGAGGTAATGGGCGGCTGGTGGGCTCTAAGCTGTGCGTCAGTGCAGGCAGCGCGCCAGGTGTCATCTATCGAGCGCAGGTGGGCAGTAAGGTCAGAGACAGTGGGGAAAGACGCAAGGTCAGGAAAGAGCATCGGGAGGATCAGGCGACCCACCGAGGCATTCGGAGGGGTGGAATAGCGCTTGATGACAGCATCTAAGTAAGCCTGAGCAGTAGTGAGGGACCTAAAGCGAGGGCGCTCGGACGGGGGAAGGGCGTTGCTAATGGCAAGCTGAGCGACAGCATCGCAAGAAAGCCAGACAGAGCGCGCACGGGCAGTGGCAGCAGTAGATTCGCGCTCAGTGGGTGTGGAGTCAGCGGGCAGAACAGCAGGGGGGTCTGGGCAGGGGAGCGTACCGTCAAGGTGTGCGGACAGCGGTTCACCATCCTGCCGCCGGCCAGTGAGTTGGCGTCGGAGGTCGGAAAGCCACGCCTCGAACTCCAGAGGCTGGCCTTCAGCGTCGAACCGAAGCTCTGCCGCCATCAGGGGCAGTGCAGGACAGGGCAGTACAGTGCAGTGCGGTGCAGGGCAAAGCAGGGCAGTGCAGTCTGGTGCAGGGCGGTGCAGTGCTGTGCAGTGCGATGTAGGGCGGTGCAGGGCGGTGCAGGGCAGTGTAGTGCGGTGCAGGGCGGTGCAGTGCAATGCAGGGCAGTGCAGTGCGGTGCAGGGCGGTGCAGGGAGGGGGGAACCGTACCAGTGAGGATGCAAGGGCCGAGGCAGGGATGAGCGCAGAGGCCGGGCCGGTGCGGCGGGGCCGGACGGGCGTGGCAGGGCCAGGCAGGGCACGGCGGGGCGAGGCAGGGCGCGACAGGGCCCCGAGAGCGCGACGGGGCCGGGCAGGGCGCAACTGGGGCCGGGCGGGTGCGACGGGGCCGGGCAGGGCGCAACGGGGCCGGGCGGGTGCGACGGGGCCGGGCGGGTGCGACGGGGCCGGGCGGGTGCGACGGGGCCGGGCGGGTGAGACGGGGCCGGCGGGTGCGACGGGGCCGGGCAGGGCGCGATGGGGCCGGGCGGGTGCGACGGGGGCCGGGCGGGTGCGACGGGGCCGGGCGGGTGCGACGGGGCCGGGCAGGGCGCGACGGGGCCTGAAGGCGTGACGGGGCCCAGGAGGGGTGCTACGGGGCCCAGGAGGGGCGCTACAGGGCCCAGGAGGGGCGCTACGGGGCCCAGGAGGGGCACTACGGGGCCCTAGAGGGGGGGCTACGGGGCCCAGGAGGGGCGCTACGGGGCCCAGGAGGGGCGCGACGGGGCCCAGGAGGGGCGCTACGGGGCCCAGGAGGGGCGCTACGGGGCCCAGGAGGGGCGCTACAGGGCGAGGGGCGCAGCGGGGCCCGGGAGGGTCACAACAGGGCTAGGGGGGTCGCGACGGGGCCTAGGAGGGGCGCGGCAGGGCTAGGGGCACGAAGGGCCCAGGGGGTCGCGACGGGGCTAGGGGGTCGCGACGGGGCCCAGGGAGTCGCGACGGGGCTAGAGGGTCGCAACGGGGCTAGGGGGGTCGCGACGGGGCTAGGGGGTCGCGACTGGGCCCAGGAGGGGCGCGGCAGGGCTAGGGGCACGACGGGGCCCAGGGGGTCGGGGGGAGGCGCGGGGGGGCCTAGCTAGGGAACGAGCGGAAGCGGTAGGTGGGGGGATCCTAACCTACGCGTGATACCATATCAAACTGAGAGAAAAGAATAATAAGTAGTGGGAGAGTACAGATAGATATACCTAAGTATTGTACCCTCTAAGGGGTGACCCTATACAGTCTATGCAAACATAACAAATACACATGTTTGACAACAGTAATCACATTCAGCTCTAATTACAAGTCTAATTACAATCTAATTACAGGTAATTCAATGGACTCAAAACGCGCCTCAGCCAGGTATCATCGTGCAAGCGGCGGCATGGCGTGTAGTCTCGTGTACATTCGGGCCATGGAGCAGTAGCCTCTGTTGTCCCCCGCTCTGATCAGATTGCCTGCAGAGAAGGGACGGCGAGCCACGTGGGAGATACATACATGACATGCCATACACTTGTATCGCTTCAGGAGATAATTGAATCGACTCAGAAGTTGCCTGCAGAGAGGGACTCACACATACACGAGCCATGGGGGAGACACATACATGACACACCGGCACTCGGATAGCTTCAGGATGGGGCATGAGTGAGAGAGCATTGGGTGTGTCGGGGTGGTGGGATCTGTCCAAACAGGCGAGTCAGGGGGGATGCACACACATGACATGCACTCTAGCTTCAGAATGGCACATGAGCGCGAGCGAGCGCGTGGGGTGGGTTGGGATTGTGAAATCTCTCTAAACAGGCAGGTCACGAGGAGCGTGGTTTTTAGGGGGGGTGGGGGGGGGGGGTGTCTTTCTTACCAGAGTCACAGTTGAGTGGGCTGTCAGCTTCAGGATGGCACATGAGGGTGATTATGGCACGGCACACGGATGTGAGCGTCCACGCCGGGCTCCAGGCTGTCTTGAGGATGTCCAGACAGATCTCTCCGGTCTAATTAGAATAGTACAGAGAGGGGGGGGGGGGGGGGGAGAGGGAAGGAGAGGGTAAGAGCGTGTCGATGCCATGATACACTAATTAGAATAGTACGGAGTGAGGGGGGGGGGGAGAGGGAAGGAGAGGGCACGAGCGTGTCGATGCCATGATACACGGATGTGAGGGTTCAATCCAGGCTCCATGCTGTCTTGAGAGGATGTCCAGGCAGATCTCCCCGGTCTGGTTACCCTATAGTAACATGGAGGGGTAAACGGGGAGGGTGAGGGAGTGACGATGCCATGGTGTATGGAAGTGAGCGACCAAGCTGGGCACGCCATCCAGAGGATATCCAGGCAGGCAGATCTCCCCGGTGTGGTTACCATAGAATAACATGGAAGGGTAAACGGAGTGATGATGTATGAGCATTCTCAAGAGTGATGATGTCATGAGGCACGGATGTGAGCGACCAAGCTGGGCATGCTGTCCAGAGGATGTCCAGGCAGATTTCCCTGGAGTGAATGGCATGGCCGGGAGGGAGGTGAAGGGATAAGGCGAGAATGTGATGCTAGCATGGCACATGGATATGAGGGGGCTCCATGCTGGGATCCATGCCGCCTTGAGAATATCAAGAACACACCGGCCAAAACACACCAGTCTGAATGGTATCTGAGACCCTGGTGGACAAGACGCACCTTGAAGTGGGGTGGAAGACCTTGGATGACTTCAGTTGACTTTGGTAGACTTTCATTGACTCTGTGTTGACTGACCTTGAAGTGAACGTTGGGGTGGAAGACCTTGGTTGCAAAGCGCACTTGGGGCGGCACGAGGGGGTACTGCTGAGGCACGTTGATTGTCAGGGTAAATTGCCCTCCGTAGTAGGGCGTGTCTGCTGGGCCCTGAGGATGCGGGGGGTGAGAGATGCAATGCGATGACGTATGGAAAGGAATGAAGAATTCTCGATTGAACGAAAGGATGTGAGGGAAATTGAGAAGCAAGGGAAACTGACATACAAGGTCCATGCGATGGATGAATGGACCTTAGGGCGCTTCCAAAGTGACAACTTCTGGTTTTCGGTTTCCGGTGCAGCTCGGCATGCTGCAGTTTGCTATAGGTTCTGTGTTTGCAGCTATTTCAAGTACGGTACAAATTTCAAATTTCCACTTTGGAAGCGCCCTTAGGAATGCGACCAGCAGGGAAAGGAATGCCAAACTTAGTTGCTACAAGCGCTCTGGCAGACGCGCGTTTAGCGTTCAAACGCTTGCGTTTGAACGCAAACGCCAACGAACCCTAAAACGCAAACGCTCGCTGGGTTTTTTTTCGGGCTGCCCCCTGGAAAAAAAATCGAAAAATTTGGGGCGAAATTGAGACTTGGCGAATTCAGTGCTACATTCGCCAAGTCCCCAACTCCCAACCATCTCGTCAATATTCACCTCCCAACCAACTCCCCCCCCTCAACCGCACTCCACACATCGTCAACTAGAACTTCCAACCCCTCCTCCTCCCATCTCGTAGTTTCACGCCAACTCCCTATCTACTTCCCTCGTCAGATCTGCTTTCTAATTGCCGCGCGCCATAGCCGTAGCAACTTTCACACCCCACGCAATACCTTAACTTAAGGGCGCTCGCCCATGTCAACCCCTGAGAGCAATGCGGATGGTGCTGTTACAGCGTCCGTATGTTCTAATGCATACGAGGCTGATAAGAATCATGAGGTCTATAAATACTTCCGCGTTCTAGTCAAGGAGGCCGGTGCAATGCAGAAATACGAGTGTCGCTTTTGTGGGCACAAGATGGCCGGTAATCCCAACCATTGCGCCGCACATTTCACCAAGTGGGATGGACAAGGGCGGGAGAATGGGCTTTCGGACATGTGTTTTGCATGACATTTGAGGCTTTACCCCTGCCTGGGCAAAATTTTTAGCCCTGCCCGGGCAAGCGTTTGCCTAGCGTTCACATACACTATGACAAGCGTTTAGCGTTCAAACGCTAGCATTTGAACGCTAGCGTTCAAACGCCAAACGCGTTTGTAGCAACTAAGATGCCAAAGAGGCAAGGGGAAGAGAGATGACGGACTTCTTAGGGTGCAGAGTAGAGCAGGCTCTAGAGAGGGCTGCAGGTGACATGGATGGATGACGTGGAAAGGTGACCGGATTCCAAGGATGTGCGCCGGATTTAAAGAAACGTGCTAAGGTGAGTCGCTCATCATAGCCATCCATCCGTGCACATCTGTCTCATCATAGCCATCCACCCATGCACATCTGTCTCAACATAGCCATCCATCCATGCACATCTGTCTCATCAAAGCCATCCACCCATGCACATCTGTCTCATCATAGCCGTCCATCCGTGCACATTTGTCTCATCATAACCATCCATCCATTCATACGTACCTTGATCACTGCCGTCCATCTGTAGATGTTGCTTTCATCGCAGCTCAGGTTGATGTCAGCATCAGCTGAGCCCCGCGCCTCCCTTTGCGCCTCCTTCAGCTCTTTGAACAGCCGCGACCGCGACGCCTGGGGTGGCGGGATGAATGGGATGGATACAAAGGGGTGCGGTGGACAGAACTCCTTGATGGCAGCATCAGCTGAACTCCTTGATGGCAGCATCAGCTGAACTCCTTGATGGCAGCATCAGCTGAACTCCTTGATGGCAGCATCAGCTGAACTGACCCCCGTGCCTCCCTCTGCGCCTCCTTCAGTCCTTTGAACAGCCGCGACCGCGATCCCTGGAAGGGATGGGATGAGATAAGAGGGATACAGGAGTTGAGGTGATCACACAGGGGGTATGGTGGAAAGATAGCCTTGAAGTCAGCATCAGCAGACCCGTGGACCCCGCGCCTCCCTCCATGCCTGCTCAGGTATTTAAGAATGCTCAAAAGCCTAACCCTGTCAGCATCAGCAGACCCCTGAACCCGGCGCCTCCCTCCGCGCCTGCTTCAGCTCCAAGAACCTCCGCGACCGCGATGCCCCGAGTTTAGCCATGATAGAGAAGAGCAGCAGTGTAAACGAGCAGGAGTGTAAACGAGCAGGAGTGTAAACGAGCAGGAGTGTAAATGATGATGTTAGCCAAGAAGGACCCAAGAACATCCCTTCGTGCATGCTTCACCTTCAAGAACATCCCTTCGTGCATGCTTCACCTTCAAGGACATCCGCGGCCGCGACGCCAGGAGTTTGTGAGGGGGGATTGGGGGATGGTGAAGTGGGCGTCAAGGGACGGCGAAATAGGGGTCAAGGAAATAGGGATGGGGGGATGGTGAAATAGGGATGGGGGGATGGTGCAATAGGGATGGGGGGATGGTGCAATAGGGATGGGGGGATGGTGCAATAGGGATGGGGGGATGGTGAAATAGGGATGGGGGGATGGTGCAATAGGGATGGGGGGATGGTGCAATAGGGATGGGGGGATGGTGCAATAGGGATGGGGGGATGGTGCAATAGGGATGGGGGGATGGTGAAATAGGGATGGGGGGATGGTGCAATAGGGATGGGGGGATGGTGAAATAGGGATGGGGGGATGGTGAAATAGGGATGGGGGAATGGTGAAATAGGGATGGGGGGATGGTGAAATAGGGATGGGGGGATGGTGCAATAGGGATGGGGGGATGGTGCAATAGGGATGGGGGGATGGTGAAATAGGGATGGGGGGATGGTGCAATAGGGATGGGGGGATGGTGCAATAGGGATGGGGGGATGGTGCAATAGGGATGGGGGGATGGTGCAATAGGGATGGGGGGATGGTGAAATAGGGATGGGGGGATGGTGCAATAGGGATGGGGGGATGGTGAAATAGGGATGGGGGGATGGTGAAATAGGGATGGGGGAATGGTGAAATAGGGATGGGGGGATGGTGAAATAGGGATGGGGGGATGGTGCAATAGGGATGGGGGGATGGTGAAATAGGGATGGGGGGATGGTGAAATAGGGATGGGGGGATGGTGAAATAGGGATGGGGTGACCATGAAACGGGAATGGTGGGACGGAGAGGGCTACGACGTCACACCCATGCACCCATCGACTCAAAATGCTGGCTTACTCACCATGCGAAGCTTCTTGCTGCCTTGCCGCAGCCACTGACGATCTTTGGGTGAGCTCAAAGGCCACAGCTGCCGCCACAGACGACCTTTGGGTGAAATCAAAAGCCACAGCTGCCGCCACGGACGGCCTACACTGACTGGCTCTCCTCGAACCGCCTTTCTCGTCCCCCCGTGTGCTTTTCCGCTGCTGTCAACTGCAGCAAGGGAGGAAGTGGAAGGGCGAGGGAGGGTGGCGTTGAGCGGAGAAACGGAAGGGAGGAGAGCGAACAGGGAGAGAGGGAGGTGGCAAAACCACGAAAAACGAAGGTAGCGGCGACGGATGGGTGAGAGAGGGTAGCGACGACGAATGGGTAAGAGATGTTGGAGATGGTTCGGCGCTGCCCTACCCAACGGCGGACCTACCCTAATCTGGCGGCACGATGGTGGCACTAGGTGCGGAGGAGGAACGGTGATGCAGCGATATGTGGTGGGAGCACGGGAGAAATGCGGTTGAGTAAAGCGGGGAGGATGAGAGGTAAAAATGAGGAAGGATTTCGCGGATGCTGGAAATGTGGTTGGAGGAATCAGCAGCTGCCTGCTAGAAGTGTTGTGCGGGGAATTGGAAGTTGGAAGCGGAGTGCATTCGGTTCACGTTCGGTGGAACCGAACTCGGTGTCGTTTTCGTTGCCAAAACAACGCGGAGTGCATTTGGTTTCGGTTGAGTGCGACTTGGGGAACTCGAGGCTCACGCGTTACAGTGAAACGCACGTGGTGTTACGAAGCGCTTAACTGAAATCTGAAATGCATATACCTGTGTTGTTTCAGATTGTGCTTTGTATCTCATGCCGAAATATTGAATTCAGAAAATTGCTGCATCTTGTATTGACGACTTTCAGCTACTCTGAACATACCATTGGAATCTTGAGATCAAGGAGATCGATAAGTAGCCTAGCCGGAGGCGCTTGTAGACTAAGAAGAGAGGGTAGCGACGAAGGGCGGGTAAGATAGGGCAGAGACGACGACGGGTGCGTAAGAGAGGGCAGCGACGACGGATGGGTAAGGGAGGGTAACCACGACGGATGGGTAAGAGAGGGTTGTGAAAGTAAGAATGAATGATTAGAATGAGAGATACAATGTGCTTTTGTGCTAAAGGGTTGTACTCTATAAAAGCATGCACTTATCTAGCCTATAAGATAAATATATATATGTTTTGACACACCCCATAGGCTTGATGAGGGGCAGTGCCTTGCAAGAGACACACAGCTCAGGGTGGCACTACTAGTCCAACCTCTAAGGCAAGGGTTCGAAGACTAATCAGCAAGAGTACAAACTAAACAAGAGCAACCCAGGGCAGTACTACTAGTCCAGCCATTGGGACAAGAGCCACAAGGCCAGTCAAGACAATATAAAAATAGTACACAATCAAATTCCTAGCAAGTGTGAAGCTACAGGAACTAGACCAAGCTGTACGCAGTGCCGCTGATGATCTTTATGTGCAAGCGCCTTCGTAAAGATATCAGCTGTGTTGGCACCCAAGGCCAAGTGTACTACGCCGGCATGGCAGCGCTGCTGCAGCTCGCGCAGGAGGAAGTACCGCAGCAGGGAGTACCGGGGCAGAGCTAGGCCGCTCACCTAAGTCTGTGAGCAAGAAGGCCAGCCAGCCGAGCTCCTGTGCCGCCATGGCACCAGCATAGATCTCAGCCTCACCAATAGACTGGGCAACAAACGACAAACGAGTGGACCGCCACGAAATGCGCCTGCACCAAGACTAAAGCAGTCAGACGCGTCAAGGGGGAAACCAAGGGAGACACATGGGACAGTGCAGGCAGTGGGCTTGTCCGTGCTAGAGGTACGAACGTGAACGAGGCAGCCCCAGACGTGGAACGCAGACGCGTCACCAGGGAACCCGGTCCAAAGAAGGGTAGGCGAAACCTGCTGCCGCTGGGAGTGTGGCCACAAGTTAAGTTGGTGAGCGGCGTAGCGAACAGCGAACAGCCACAGAAAATGGGGTGCACCAGCATGGATCATGGCCCATGTAGTCGTCGACAAGCACTAGAAAGTAGCGGCCCATGGACGGAGGCTGGGCCCCAAACGTCCAAGTGCAGGGTCTGGAGGGGCGCAGTAGTAGGGGAAAACGAGGAGGAGTGAGGAGCACGGGGCAGCCGGCCCTCGACGCAAGGCATACACGGTAGCGCAGGCCAGGGAGGGAGGGCAAGGTTCGACGTAGGGAGACCGAAAACAAGATCGTGATGGGACATGTGACGCAGACGCGGGAGTGCGGGGTGACCTAGGCGGTGGTGCCACAGCAGCGACGGGTGAGTGAGCGGCCGACATGAGCAAGCCATGGTGACCTGGGTTGCCGCAGGCATCTGGGGGGACGCCCTCACCAGAGAGGCAGTGTTAAGCGTAAACAGGCCGGACACAGGGTCCCGGGGGAACGTGGTCAGAGGGGCACCAGTGGCGGCCTCGGTACAAACCGCGTACCGCTCATGTCTGGGCATCGTAGTGGTGACGCCTAGGTCCTGAAGACAGCCGACACCAACTAGGTTCCTAGAGAACGAGGGGATGTGCAGGCCTGTAAGAGAGCCCGAGTGGACCACCGGACAGGGAGGGTAGTGGAGCTATGGGCTACTACCAGACCTGAGGAGGGGTCAGCAAGCGCCACAGCTACCACCAGTCCACACGACGTCTGCTCCTGCTGCGGCGATTGCTGCTGCGGCTACTGCTGCTGCTGCTGCTGAGGTTGCGGCTGCTGCTGCTACGGGGCACCAGCCCGGGTCCTCTCATCAGAACCACCTTCCCCGCCCCCAGATCCTCCACCCCCACCACCCTTCCCTCTGCCATGCCACCCTTGGGGCGGCGGCCCCTACCTGGACGCGGCTGCGCTGAGGCCGCTGCTGCGGTCTTAACAATACCGGTAGAAACATCAGAGAAAGTGCACTAGGAGGGAGCACAACCCTGAAAGATAAGGACCAGCGAAGTACCGCTACACTGAGCGATAGTGCGCTGGCGGGTCTCTATCGCAAACAGGGCGGTGACAAAGGCGGTGAGGGTGAGGTCACTAGGGTGCTGACTAAGGAAGTGGTCGCGGGCAGTGGCTATGCGGTCAAGAAGATGGCAATGAGGTAAAGGGTAGTGCAAATCGGCAGCGGGAAGGCAGTGAGCTGAGCCTAAGTGCTAGCAGCACTGTAGCTAGACTCTAGTGCGCGGAGGTGAGTGGCAAGATCAGCGACAGTGGGGAAGGATGCAAGATCAGGGAACGGCATGGGGAGGATCAGGCGACAAGCAGAGGCGGAGGCTGAAGTGGAATAGTGCACGATGACGGCATCTAAGAATTCTTTGGCATTTGCGACAGTGGTAAAGCGGGGACGCTCAGACAGGGGAAGTGCGTGACTGATAGCAAGCTGCACAACTGCATCGCGCGACTCCCAGACAGCGCGAGCAAGTGCAGTAGCGGAAAAGGCCTCATGCTCAGAAGTGGTGGGGGTGTCAGGGAGGGCAGCAGCTGCAGCAGGGCGGGAAAGCAGGCCATCAACATGAACAGCCAAAGAGTGACCGTCCTGGAGCTAACCTGTAAGGTGCCGGCGCAGGTCGACGAGCCAAGCCTCGAAGTCGTTGGCCCGGGCCTCCGCGTCCAGGCGGAGCAGTGAGTCCGCCATCACCCCAGCCGAAGCAGCTGACTGCCGCTGATAGGGAGAGGAGGAAAGGAGAAGGAAGGCAGTTGAGAGCGGTGGAGAGCGGTGGAGTGCGGTGGAGTGCGGTGGAGAGCGGTGGAGTACGGTGGAGTGCAGTGTAGTGCGGTACGGCGACGCGGCAGTTGGACAGCACGGGGCTGGTGCGGGCTGTGGCCGGCGGAGCAGGGACCGGTGGCGCTGGGGGCCGGTGAGTGAGGGGTCGGCTGGGCTCACAGGGCTAGCGAGGCGCACGGGGCTAGCGGGGCGCACAGGCCTAGTGGGGCGCTAACGGGGCCAGCGGGGCAAACGGGGCTAGCGGGGCGCACGGGACGAGCGGGGAGCACGTAGCTAGTGGGGCGCGACGGGGCTAGCGGGGCGCGAACAGGGCCAGCGGGGCGCACGGGGCCGGTGGCGCGTACGGGGCTAGCGGGGCGAACGGGGCCAGCAGGGCGGACGGGGCCGGTGGGGCTCACGGGGCTAGCGGGGCGAACCGGGCCAGCGGGGCATACAGGGCCGGCTGGGCGCACGGGGCTAGCGGGGCTTGACAGGGCCAGCACGCCAGCAGGGCGAATGGGGCCAGCGAGGAGTACGGGGCTGGCGGGGCGCCACGGGGCTAGCGGAGCTCGACGGGGCTAGCGGAGCTCGACGGGGCTAGCGGAGCGCGAACGGGGCTAGCGGGGCGTACGGGGCCAGCAGGGCGCTAACGGGGCCAGCGGGGCGCTAAGGAGCCAGCGTGGTGCTAACGGGGCGGCTAGGACTAGGCCTAAGGTGGAAGCGCGGGTGGGCAGGGGGGGGGGGGGACCTAACCTAGCGTGATACCATGTGAAAGTAAGAATCAATGGTTAGAATGAGCGATACAAGGTGCTTTTGTGCTAAGGGGTTGTACTCTCTAACTGTACGCACCTATCTAGCCTCTATGATACATATACTGTATATGTTTTGACAAGGGTAGCAACGACGGCTGGGTAAGAGAGGGCAGCGACGACGGATGGGTAACAGAGGGGAGCGACGACGGGTGGGTAAGAGAGGGTAGCGACGATGGCTGGGTAAGAGAGGGTAGCGACAACGGATGGGTAAGATAGGGTAGAGACGACGGGCGGGTAGAAGAGGGCAGCGACAACGGCTGAGTAAGAGAGGGCAGAGATGACGGATGGGTAAGAGAGGGCAGCGACGACGGCTGGGTAAGAGAAGGCAGCGACGATGGATGGGTAAGAGAGCGACGATGACGGCCGGGTAAGAGAGGGCAGCGATTTTGGGCGGGTAGAAGGTAGAAGAGGGCAGCGACGACGGCTGAGTAAGAGAAGGCAGCGACGACGGATGGGTAAGAAAAGGCAGCGACGACGGCTGGGTATGTAGGAGTGACAACGAGGTGCGCTTCCCTCTGACGACAATTGGTTGCGTTGCGAGCATAACACAACCCTAAGGAACGTACGTGACCTTGGCAAGACGAAAGAGACGGCAGGGGCGACGCAAGGGAGGGGACGCTCGAGTAGAAGCGACGCTACGTAACGGACCTGGAAAAAAAGCCTTTGCAAGATCTTCGTAAGCAATATGCTGGGCGGCTGCTGCTTTCCGTGGGGACTTGCTTTCATGTGCCTGCGGTCGTGGATCGGCTTGCAGCGAGGAGTGACAATACCGTCGAGCAGACGGTAGGGCGACAGGGAGACGGGGGTTTGATCTCGAGGCTTGATTGTACGGCCCGACTCCTCTTCCTCGTCTCTCTGTTGATCTTGGAGTGAGCGCCGCACAAGCAGTCACCCGTGAGAATAATTAGAAGCCTACGAATGTACGGAGCTACTGTACAATACAGCAGCTACGTTGTAGATTGATTTAGCTTCAATTACACTCAACTCCAATTACATACTCTTACTCTGGGTGAACACAAATTTCGTCC